TCTCCTAGAAATTGAGTATGAAATTAATATATGTCAACATGTAAAATTGTAATATGAAAAATTCCCATTTCTAAGGCCAACACTTCTAGCAGTGCAACTTCTTAGTTACTTCTTGCCTTCAGCTCTTTTTCCCATGAACAAGGTGCCATTGGATGCAAGTCACCATACTCTGCTGCATAGTAGATTTGGCTTTCAAAAAGAGCTTTTTTTTCAGCCTACAAAATAAATCTGAGAAAGAGAAAACAAAATGAAGCTCTTGGGTATAGGACAGGCTATAAATTTTAGAAATAAATGAATAAACTAGGACAGTGATGGCGAACCTTTTACAGGCCAAGTGCCCAAACTGCAACCCAAAACCCACTTATTTATCGCCAGGTGCCAGGTGGGCGTGGCCCACTGGGTGGGCGTGGTTGTGGTCATGGCAGACTGGGTGGGTGTGGCCAAGGTGGGCGTGGTCACTTCAATGTTGCTCATGTGGAGGGACGCCTGTGGGGGCTGGGCAGGGTTGGGGGAGATCCAGGGGGTCTCTGGCAGGTGCGGTGGTGGGCAGGAGGCTCATCCTGTGGGGATAGGTGAGGCAGGGTAGGGGTGCCAGTGTCGCAGGGCAAGGCGAGGCAGGGGCCAGAGCGGCTTCTGCCTGACACCATCGGCCCCCACACACAGAGGCCAACGAGTGCATGGGAGCCGACAGTGTCCATCAGCAGCCACAGCCTGCCAGCCCCTCGACTGGTGCACTCTGGGGCTCTGCAGCCCACCCCCAGCAGTTCAGAGAAGCCGCCTCTGAGCTGGACGGCCGGCCGACAGTTGAGGAGGCAATGCAGTGGGTCGTGCCCACAAAAAGGAGAGTATGCGAGGCCAGGAGGGATGGGACGGGGGGGAGGGAAACCAGCCATGCTGGGATGCACCCGGCCAAGTGGGACCTCAGTGGGCGGCTGGTTGAAGAGGGACAGTTGCCATCTCCGGGGCATGGCGCGCATGCCCATAGAGAGGGCTCTGACTGCCGCCTCTGGCATGCGTGCCATAGGTTCGCCACCACTGAGCTAGGACTTAGGATAAATGTCCTAAGTCATAGATCCTGATCTTTTGCTGCTGTATTTTTATATAGACTAATTATAATATTATAAATAATATTTATAATTTATAATATTATAAATACTTCATAATTTATTTCAATTGATTATAGCTGATGTGGGCCAATATAGTTAAATCCAAGAAAGTATACCATGGTGTGAATAAGGAAGCAAAGCAATACCTTTTAATACTTATTAAAATCAGCAATGTGGTCTAATTACTCCTTTCACATGATTCATTCCTTGTGTCTTTCATTGATAGTGATGCTGCTTTTTTATTTTACTTTTCTGGGTGAAATTGAAAATCTTTGTTTAAAATAATAATATGGATACAAAACCAAATAAGTTGCAAAGACAGTATCATATATAATGCAATATAAATTAGCAGTAAAGAAAAGATATACTAAATAAAGTCAGTAAAGTTTAATTTTAAATGTTATTAGATACATGTTGTTATGAAAAATAGCTCTAGGGAAACACTGTATTTATTTTAATCACATTTAGAACCCCCTTTAAACTTCATGTAAAGAAAAATCACTTTCCCCACTGTCAACAATTACATGAAAATCCATTGGATAAATGTTGTCAGCAATCAAATTGATTTAATTTTTCTGTTTTATAATGTTGCACATAAAGAGAATAATTCCCTTATATTTAACACAGTACATGCTGATATTAATATT